TGACTCTCGATGATATGATTGTATGCTTAGCTGTAGGGGGTGAATAGACCCGATACTGATTGAAAGAGACCGAAGGGGGTGAAATAGACCCAATACTGGTTGAAAGAGACCAAAGGGGGGTGAAATAGACCCAATACCGGTTGAAAGATACCGAAGTGGGTGAAATAGACCCAATTATGTTTTGACTGTTATGTATGTATGGTATGAGGTATTCTGGGAGACTCACTAAGCTTTGTGCTTATGGTTTTGTGGTTTAAACATTTTCAGGTACTTCTAGTTTTGAAAAGAAGAGCCCGACTTGATCGCACTGCATCCCCAAAAGATTTATTCCACAATGATTATTTATGATTTTACTATGATGTTTTGAGAATATTTTTACTTTGGTCGTCTTTTGAGATAATGTATGAAAGGTATTGACCCATTTAAAATGAAAACTTTTACTCGGTATTTTTGGGACGTTACATTGACTTTGATCCCTTTGGTTTTATGTGAAGGATTACCCAACGAGGATGCCACTCTTTCGATGCAATATCGTTTGCGATCTCTATCCTTCGCATACCTCCAATATCTCTTATCTTCGTTCTCCTCAAGCTTTGGCTTTATATTTTCACGATTTTGACATCACCGTCTTTGTCATCCATTCATTTGTGGTTTAAATTCTCTTAATAAAAATAAGTTTATTTCATGTAATTGTACCAAACCTTATTTAGTTTGTCAATCATGTGTTTTGGCTAAACATATTAAATTACATTTTCCTGATGCTCATATACATTTGCTCCTTTTGATATTATAGTGATCTTTGGTCTCCACTTTTTTTTGAGTTTTAGGGGACTTCAATATTTTGTACTCTTTCTTGATGAATTTTTGTAATTTCCTTTGGTCCTACCTTCTATGATAAAAGTCCCAAGTGTTCTCCATTTTCCTTTCTTTTAGTAACTTTGTCGAAATCTATTTTTTCAAATACATAAAACTGTCCTATGTGACAACGAGATGAAATATAACAACTCTGCATTTCATATTTTTTTTCTCCTCAAATGTAATGGTTTCTTATTTCTCAAGTCATCACATATTACTCCAAAATAGAAAGTTTGATTGAAAATACGAGATACTAACAATATCATTTAAACTCTCATATACCATACAAACATACCCGCCAAATATTGGCATCACAGCCTAAAAATAGCCACATACATTTTAGAGGGTGCTTGGGATTTCATTTTGATCCTAAAAATGAGTTTTAGACAAAATGATTTATTGACTTATGGTGATAGGAAAAGAAGTTTTAAAAAAAGCTTTTGGGTTAGTTTTTGTGGTGGGAAAAGTCAATAAGTAAATAAGTTGTTTTTTTTTTTTAAAATGTTTGTCTTAAGTTAAAGGTATTTTAAGGTAATATTGACTTTTACAACTCAAAAATCCATAAGGTATTTAGAAAAGTTACAAATTCTAACTTCTTAAAATCTCATTTTGAAGGGTTAAGGAGAATTTGTTTTAAAAGTCCATTTTCTTTTTGCCAAACATTTTTTTTTTACTTACTGACTTTTTAAAAAGTTAATAAGTCACTAAGTTGTTTTGAGATGAAATCCCAAACACCCTCTTAAACATTTTACCAACTAAAACTCTAAACTGCAATACCCTGCTCAACTACTATATAATAGTACCATGTCTTACCAACACCTATGTGTTTTTAGGTGTTTATGCTACCTGCTTTTTCCACCATCTCACCATCTACTATCAATAAGCTCCACCCTTGATCCAAACGTACCTTAGGTATTTCTTGGCTACCCTGAGAACCACCAAGGATACAAATGCTTTGATCTCACCTCCAAAATTAATAACATCGTTACACGTTATATTTAATGAATACATTTTCCCTTTTCGTGATTTTAAAATTTTGAATTCGTCCCCTTATAATTTTCTTACAAATCAAATCCACCCTTACCACCTCTACCCCTCCCACCATCAAGAATGCTCTTACGAAACACCATTCTCCCACCCCAAAGGGATCAAGCATGTTGCAATACCTAGAAGCCCAACGCCACACTGTTAGGCATGTTTCATCACCGCTAGCCTATATCGGCCCCCCTTCGCACCATCCCAGCCCACCAACTATTGCTACTTCCCTCCCAACACCTCCTTCAACTATTTAAGCCTCACTCACTCCCACCGTCAACCAACACACTTAAAACATACACACATGAAGCATGCCTGACATATCCAAATCCAAAAACCGATTTAATATTTATATCACCACCAACCTCTCCCACATACCATACAAATCCTAAGCGTGTCCTACCTGATCCAAATTAGAATTCTGCTATTACTAATGAATTTAATGCTCTAATTGAAACTACCTAAAAAGCAGAATGCGAACATTATAAAATCAATATGGATATTTAAACACAAATTAAAATCGGATGGGTTGCTCGAGCTTAATAATCATTCCATGTTGGCAATGGTCATTCTCAACTGGTCGGGGTCGATTTTCATAAGAACTTTAGCCTAGTTGCCAAACTAGCTACCATACACACCGTTGTAAGCCTTGATATCTAGATGTCTTGTCGAATATATCAACTTGATATCAAGAACGCATTTTTACACGTTCTCTTTAAAAAATTATGCACATGTATTGACCTATAGTTTTTGATGATCCCTTTTATTTTGTTATGTTTTTCTTCTTCATAAACCCTTGTATTAGTTAAAACAAGCTCCCCATGCTTGGTACCAACGTTTTGTGGGTTTTGTTGGCACCATTGAATTCAAACATAACATTTGTGATCATTCTTTATTTATTTACTGTCATGAAAATGATGTGGCATATCTCTTACTTTATGTGGACGATATAATTTTTACTACCTCATCTCATAACTTGCGACACTCCTCCTGGAACTTTTAACTCATGAATTTGCCATGAAAGATCTTGGACCACTCACTTACTTCATTAGCATATTTGTACAATGCCATCAACATGGATTGTTCCTCAACCAAACACAATATGCCAAAGAAAATTATTCAATGACCATATATGTGTTTCTTTAAACCAACTACAACATAGGTCAATACCAATGTGAAGTTGAACTCTCAAGCATGAAACCTTTTCCCGCCCCACCTACGATCATAGTTTGGTTTGTGCACTCCAATAAGTTTGCATCCACGTGCATGCACCTCATACGTACGACTCCCATGAACACACTCAAAAGAATTATTCGATACATTCAAGGTAGTTTCACCTCAACTTACACCTCTCTAAATTGCAATCCATGCATCTTCTTGCCTACATGGATGCAATTTGGAGGGGTGTGTGGATACCCGAGATCAACTTTAATTTATCGTATTTTTCTTGGTGATAACATCATCTCATGGTCCTCCAAAAGGCAACCGACATTATCCCGATCAAGTGTAAAAACTGAATATCGGGGCATTGAAAATGTCGTTTGCAAAGCATGTTGGCTACAAAATTTGCTTCTCGAAACTTCATGGTCCTCTTTCAAAAGCCACAATTGTTTACTATAACAATGGTAGTGCGATATACCACTCGGAAAACCTGGTTCAACACCAATATACAAAGCATATCGAAAATGGATATTCATTTTGTACGATAAAATGTCGCAAAAGTATAGGAACGAGTTCTTCATGTGCCTTCCTTCTCGCTATCAACTAGCCGACATATTCATCAAGGGTCTGCCACTTTTACTGTTTGATGACTTTCAGGATAGTCTTACCATCCGTTAACCTTTTGTTACAACTGCACGAGACCATTAGACATATCTTATCTTATTTATTTTTGTATTTATCTTATAGATAATTGCTAGGGGAGTTTATAAGAGACTTTCTTTATCTCAAAAACCCGAATATATATTGACAACGAGAAAGACATCAAAATTTCCAATCTATGAATTTGTTTTTCATTAATTTACGTAACCAAATTTTAAATGGTGAAACAATTACTACTAAAATATTATATTTCTATCCTAATTCCTAAGTTCTCCATATGAAAATCCATTTTATATTGAAAAAAAAAAAGTAAATTGTTATAATATTAAATGGAACGTACTACCCAAAAATAAAATAAGAAGAGGACTAGTCGCTGACTAAGTTGAGAGTTTGACTTGACCCATTTCCATTGGCATGCAAAACAGTAGTCACCTTTTGTTGTACACATTTGTCCATAAATGAAAAAGGACGAGGGCATTTACGTCAACTCCCCCTCCCCATATTGTTAGCTGTTACTCTGCAAATCCCCCCATACATACATACATGTTCGTGTATATTTCACTCTCTCTCCTCTTGTACATCAATTCTTCTTGGATATCGTCTCTCCTTCTTCATTCACTCATTTCTTAGAACATACGCTTGATTTACTTCTGTTCCATTTTTGTTTCATCTTCGTTGATTGTTTCGTTTGACGTGTGCATATGAAAATCGTGTTTCAACTTGATTCTTGGATATCTTGAGAAATTGTTCGCATCAGGAGAAGAAGTTCTTGTTAGTTCCAACTCCCAAAACAGGAGAAACGAATATAGTAACGGTTTTCACGATCGAAATCGCCGGAGCTAGTAAGTTTATGCAATTTTCATACGCTAGTTACGGTTTTTGGCTCCAGTTTCGTCAAAATGCAGAGGAATTTGTTTGGGCGTTGAAGATGAATGCGTGTTCTTGCGTAATCTGATGAACTCGACAACGGTTGTAAGGTGAATAAATCAATTTGTTGCTGTTTTTGATTGATAAACTCAACTGCTCTTGCCGGAACTCTAGGGTTCGTTTGAGTACATTGCTCTGGATTTTCTCTTTTCTACAAGATCTGCCGTTTAGAATCCAGATTCTCGTTGCGGAATTCTTGAAGTATCGTAAGGGTTTTGGCTGTGGAATGTTCCTTGAGACATGCATTAGCGCTCTATAGTTGCTTATTAGCTTCTGAATTTTGATTTTCAGTTGCCATTAGATCACACAGAGAGAATCCAGTTCTTGCCAATTGTTCCAATTTTCAATAATCTGAAGCATCAATGGGGCTTCAATTTCGAAGTTTAACGATACTTGTTCTGCTTATTTGCTTCCTCTGTTGGCCAAGAGTTGGATCTCCATTATCTAATTCTGAAACAAAACCTGCAAGGACTCTTGATACGACTCTCCAGGAATACGCCTACCGTGCATTCTTCCATCCACGTACTGGTATTCCGTTTGATGGACTCGTTCCTCCCTATTTGACAGGGATTGAGATATCAGCAATGAGACTACGAAGTGGTAGCCTATTTCATAGAGGTGTTGAAACGTTTAAAGAGTTCAGAATCCCCATTGGCGTAAGAGAGCAACCCTATGTGGAGAGACTTGTTCTGGTGTATCAAAACCTGGGGAATTGGTCCACTACATATTACCCTTTACCTGGTTACACTTATCTAGCTCCTATATTGGGTCTTCTTGCTTATAATGGTTCAGACTTATCAGCTACTAATCTACCTGAACTGGAATTTTGGGCTTCCGATGATGCCATCACAATAAAGTTTGGACAAATAAGGTCAAAACCTGAAGGTTCTGGTTCTCATCCCAAGTGTGTCTGGTTTGATCTACATGGTCAAGTCAATTTCACAGATTTAGTATCAGACAATCAATGTTTGACTTATGAACAGGGGCATTTCTCCATTGTAGTTGAATCCCCTCCCCCTTCTCCTCCTGCAACACCTGAAGTTTCTGCATCACCTGACGAAACTGCATCTAGTAGTAAGTTAGACAACATGCCTAGAGTGTGTGCTATTGTTGGCATAGCAGGTGGTGGAATCATATTGGTGGTGTTGTTTGCATTGCTGATATTATGGGCATGGAGATACAAGAAAAGGAAGAGAATCCAAGAACTAGAAAGAGCTGCAAATTCTGGTGAAGCATTACGCATGACAAGAGTTGGGAGCATGAGAGTTCCATATGCCATGGCTACAAGAACAATGCCAGACCTTGAAATTGACTTTACTGCTTGACTTCTTCTTCTTCTTCTTCATCAGGTCATGCTTCTTTACACATTCTGTAGGTGTACTCAAATCTTATATCTTTGTGCGTTTATATTCTAGGGTAATTGTGTAAATACACCATTCATACATTCATCATCCATTATGTGCATCTTGTAAGCTTGGGCCCATTCTTGTTGAATTTTGAACAAGGAATAAACTTGTTTCATGGGATTTATATCTTTTGTAGCAATTGAATATATAGTTTTGGTTTTCCTATGCTCATATTATAGAATTGAAATTGCTTTTGGTTTTAATTAAGTTTGGACATCAATTATTTCATCCCACCTTTTGCATACAAGTAGAAATCCTTCATATTCATTTGTTTCAAAATAAATATAGCACTTAATTAAGGTGTTATGTAGTGTAATGTGTAGAAAACATGTTGTAATTTTTGTTTTGTTCCATTCACATTTTAAAATGTATGTTTTGTAGTGTAATGTGTAACATTAATGTTACAGTGGAGTTAGATTTGAAAGTATGTTATTGCCATCAAGGCACCTGACAAACCACACTACTCTTTGTCCTGCATTATATTTCCATTTTTAGCTTGTACAGTAGCACCAAATGCAGCTGCCATTTTTGCACACACAATCAACCAATTACCTACCAAAAATAGAAACTTTTTTCTCCAAGAGTAATTAATAATATACAACTTTGACCATGTCATCACTATGGATTTGACTACTGACACTGAGTGGTTGTGCTTAAAAGTCCAGCAATCTCTTGGATGTAACAAATCCATCAATAAATTGTAAGAAACTATTTGAAAGAACCAAATTCAAAGTTCAAACACACATCACCATGAGCTTTTTGTATAACAAATTACCACATGAAATCAAATGGAAGTCAATATATACTAAAAGTCAAACTTCTGATGAACGTTTTTTTTATTCCTTAAAACTTCCTTCCTGCATCAATCAAAATCATATCAGCAACAAAAACCTACCACATTATAGCATTATACTTCCGGTTCTTTTTCTTATTACAACATTATACCTTCAAAAATCTAGTCAATTATAGCAAAGAAAACTGTTTTGTGTTTGTATGACATCGTTATATCTGGATAGATTAATCGTTCATAAAATACAAACATGTATCAAGAAGAAAACCGCCACATTATGTAGCATTATACTTTTAAATTTTATGTTATCACGACCTTATATTTTAAAGAATCCATCCAATTATGGCAATGAAATGAAAAGTGGGTTGTGTTTGTATGACGTCGGTATAGTTTGGTAGGTTTATAACATACAAAGACGAATGATGTAAGTTGGTACTTAACCATACTACACTCTTGTTCCTTTATTTGGCGTAAGCTATTATTAGAGAAAGAAATTATCTATGGAAGTGAACCCTAGATGTTGATATTAGTTGTTAGTTAGTTAGGTGAAAATTGAAGTCGAAAGAGATTCGTTTAGGAATAGAACCTGAAACTGGATAAAATCCTCTAATTAGAAGGAGAGTTTCACATGGCGACATCCCACAAATCATTACCGATGTGCTTCGGCTGTAGAACAAATAAATAGTAAATAGTAGAATCAATCAGATTCAGATACGAATGAAAAACCAAGAAAATGATGAGCAGCTTTGTGAAGAAAATATTGGACGTTGCCGGCGATGCATTATGATCCCCAATGGCAGAATCGCCTCCAGCCATTGCAATCGACCCATCTATCTCTCAACTCTCAAATCCCCAATCACACACAAATAAAAGAACAAACATTTTTATACTCGTACAAACAGAGAGCGTATCAACACAATGAACTTTTACCAAGATATTATTAAAGATTAAATTTTTATGTCATCTAAGCATGAGCATTTGGACCTCCGGACCTGGACCTGGATCGGGTAAGCTTCAACAGGTCCGGTTTAAGGCCCACAAATTTCTACAAAACAGGTCTGGTCCTGTCCGGCCCAAATGCTTACTTTTACGTCCAACAACTATGAACCGGACTTGGGCCTAGTAAGCCTCAACAGCTCCGATCTAAGGTCCACTAATTTATGTAAAATCGGTCCGTTCCAAGAACAGGTTCGGTCCAATTCAAATATTCACCCTATATAAAGGAGTAGTAGTGTGCTAACATGTTTTTAAAAAAAGAATTAAAAGAGTCGATCATAGTGCGCCTAAATACTCTCTCTCCACCATTTCCCATTCTCTCTCCTCTTTCATCTCGCAAAGCTACCAAGTACCAACGACCCAACATTGGTGCAGCCCCTTAACGCACGTCACGGGGCGGCGTTCAACATATGTCGAAAGCTTGACGAGTTGACTTGGTGCACCTTGTAGTCCAATTGTCTAAGTGTCAAGTTGTCAATTTGTTTCACATTGTATTTATAAGTTGTCAATTTGTTTAATATTGTACTTATAGGCACTAAAGATGAGGTTCATTTTTTTTTGTTTAATTTGGGTATTTTAAAGTTTTCAAATCTAGTTATTTTACTATTATATTTTAATTGAATTAATGTATACAAAACTCTAAAACAAAAACACACAACCAATAGCAAAAATATAGACTCTAACTAGGGTGACTTTAGGGGTTTTTTATAGGGCCGAGCAAAGGAACTGATCCGGATGGAACCGACCCGAACCGGACCTGACCCGGGAACCGAACTTGGTGGAAAATAGGAACCGAACCGGACCGCCGGTTCTACCGATTCCAGTTCCTACCGGTTCTTGACGTGTCTTCAATGTTGGAACCGGTCCTCAAGAAATAACAACATACGGTTGCGAATGTTGTCGGTTCTACCGGTTTTTGCAGGTTCTACCGGTTTCAAAAATCGACAATAATATAGTATCCATCCCGGCCCGATCGATTCCATCGGCTTCCGGTTCCGGTATCGGTTCCGGCCGGTTCCCCGGTCCATATATTCATCCCTAGTTTTTGAGAAGCCCATTGGTGATTTCAAGAGGTTGAAACCTACCGAAAGTGATTTAAGGGGATTGAAAATCTCCATGGATGAAACCTATGCTCATGAAAGCACGACTAGAATAATTTTCATCCAGACGAATTTTATAAGAGTTAATGTCATAAAAACCCTCAATTTTTCAGGGTTTTTTCGGTTTTGCCCAAAGTTGAATTTTATGTCCGTTTTTACCCTCATATTTTCAAAAAAAATGTTTGGTTTATCCTTTTACCGGTGATAACAGATTTAGCAGGTTACCATTACATTAACTTCGCAAAAAACCCTTAAATTTACAGTTTTTTTTACGTTTTACCCTTAAGTTTATAATTTTTTTTTACACTTTTACCCTAAGTTTTTTTTTTCATAATTCATTCAAAAAAGTCGTATTTATATACAAAAAAAAATGTTTGATTAAATATTGTATTTATATTTTTTTAATGTTATACATACATATATATATATATATATATATATATATATATATATATATATATATATATATATATATATATATATGTGTGTGTGTTTGCAAGGTTATACCATTTAAAAAGTAAAAAAAAAATTAATTTAGAATTATGAATACGTATTTTATAGATATAGTTTTTAGAAGTATAAATACATAGTTTAATATTTCTAGAAATATTAATATGTATCTATACTTCTAAAAATATATGTATATGCTTATAAAAGTGTAAAAACAAATATTTGTATTTCTACAATACATATTAATATTTCTAAAAAACATATATATATATATATATATATATATATATATATATATATATATATATATATAAACATGTTTATGATTCAAGAAGGGTTTTTATTGATATGTATATTTTTGGACAAATTACACGAATGGTCCCTATGGTTGTGGTAATTTGCATTCTTGGTCCCTAATATTTTTTTTTCACTCGGAAGGTCCCTCAAACTGAATTTTGTTGCATAAGTAGTCTGTAAAAAGACCATTTTACCCTTATCTTATATTTTTCTGATTTATTTGATTAAGATAAATGTTTTTATTATTTATTTAAAAAATAAGGTCATACTAATCCCTACCCCATCCTCCCCCCACGTTTCTTGTTCAAAGAACTGCCAACACCGATTACCACCGGTACTCCGGTTCAACTCCGACATCCCTGACCACCTCTGCTAACAACCACTAAAAAAACTCAAAATCATTCTCATAGTTAAACCTGAAAAACGAAATCATATATTGATAAACCTTAGGATCAAAACCATTCTCAGAATCAAACCAGAAAATTGAAATCATACATTGTAGGTATATTCTGCAATCATACGTTCATAAACCTCAAGATCAAAATCATTACAAAGTTTAGCATCAAATCTGAAATCATACCTTGATAAACCTCAAAACCAAAACCAATATAAAAATCTGGTATAAGATAATAGAATCAAAACATTTACAATCTTTGATTTTTGAACCCCAGATGCCAAAATGATCGATGAAGCAGCAGGAAATATGGAAGATGGTCTAGCAGCAGGAAATATGGAAGATGGTCTAGCAGCAGGAAGGGTGGAAGAGACAAGATCGATGGAGGTCGGCGGTCCGATGGTGGTTGACGACTAGGGCATCTCGATTCCCCTTTGGTATAAATCCAACACCATCCACAGCAGATCAACAGAGCGTTGATGATATGTCACAACAAAGGATCCCGACGACAATTAGGGTTAACAGGAGGCAGAGAAAAGGGATATTGAAACCTCTCGGAGAAGACGAACTAACGAAGCCTCGAGTGTTGTGATGTCGGTGTCGATGGCAAAGGAAAACATCCACGGGGAAGTGACGACCGATGGTCGAAGAAGATAATTGAACCAGCAGAAGGGGGTGGAGTTAGAAGGAGAGAGAGAGAGAGAAGTGATATGTTAGGTAAATGCGAAGGAGGGTGGAGTGGACGATTGTTTTGTTTTTTTTGTTTTTTTTTAATTTAAAAATGAGATAAATAATAGAAAACCAAAAAAAAAAAATATAAGGGCAAATTAGTCTTTTCAATTCTGTTAGGGACCAAAGACGCAACAAATTAACGTTTGATGGACCTTTCGAG